TGAACTCTTATTGATCATGATATTAGATTATTGATAGTTCTTTCAATTTGGAGGAAATCTCCAGACATTGCATTCTTGAACTGGTTCCACAGATGCTGTGGATTTCTGATTTCAGTATTTGTTAGCAAGACAACAAACCTATCTTTCATTGCTCTGGGACTCTTGTTCTCTTGGCATCTTCCATAGTTTGATGTCAATGATGTCATCAGCTTGAAACAATCTCTTTCTTCAGATATCTTTGAATGATGGAAGGCTACATCCATTATGTTTCTGAAATGACTTGAAAGATATCAACCCCTTTAATGCTATGAAGAAGCAGGATCAAATAGCAGAGGTCACCACTTCGTGGAAAAACAGTGTATACTCATCCCAAGAACTTCAAAAATTCCACAGAATTCCTCCAGTCTTTTTCAAATGGGTGTTTGATTTTGTTTTTTAAACCAGATTCAGGATCCCTACATGCTCAAATGCAACACAAAATGGCCTGTAGAAAGGTAGCATAGGTATTTTGTGATTGGCCAAATTGGAGAGCAATATGGACAACAATAGTTTGCTTGTCCTAGCCAGCAAATGCCTGCTGAAATAGATAGTGCTAATGTGGACGTGTTCTATACTGACTTGAATAATGGTAAGGTATTAATGGAGTTTCATGCTCAGACAAAGACTGAATTAATTTTAAGGGAAGCAGAAAGATTAACAATATGTCATGTGTCTGGGTCTCCATATTCCTTCACTTGACACTGCATGGTGTTACAAGTATAATTTCAATATAGACTGGGATATTCCTTTTAGAATGTTTTACCCATTGAAATCTGTCTGAAGAAAAAAAAAACAGATTTCCCAGTAGTATGTCTAGGGTGTTATAATTCTTCTGTCAGGGTAATACAAGGCCCAGTATCTTCATAAGTATCAAAGGGCAAAAAAGTTATTTTTTTCTTTTTTCTTTTAAATATTGTTGATCTCTCTCCCCTTAGTCATCTACTAATATACAATACTTTACATGTGTATATTTGTTTATCCTCTACAGTGGTGGGTTGCTACCGATTCACCCCAGATCGGGTGAACCAGTAGCAGCGATGGGAGGCTCTGCCCACCCGCCCGGATGCTTCTGCTCATGCGCAGAAGTGTTGTGCACACATGAGCATACACATGTGCCCACGAGTGAACCGGTAGCAACGGGTTTTGAAACCCGCACCTGATACTCTCCTAAATGTGGACACTATATGACTCACTTGTCTTCGTGTGCTAAAGCATTTTTTATTCTTACTAATGCATGTCAAGTTAGAAAATACTTTTAACCATCATGTCTGAGGTGAAGGTGATCAGCAATCAATAATAAAGTTGAGGCTGTGAAGAACATGTGAGAACAAAAGCCCTCTAAAGAATAATGGTTGGCTGTAGAATAGAAGAATAGGGTTTGAAGGTGGCCCGCTCATTATGAGCAGACAGAATATCTGCTATGAATATGAGGTCAAGACTGGCATTGTCACAAAGAACTTCAATTTCTGGAAACAGATCAACAATAGCCAAAATATTATCACAGAGGTTTATTGCTTGCCCTTTCCTTATTGTATTTCTTTGCCTGAATGTCTCAAATGCAAGCAACAAGCATGCAACAGAGGATGAAATTATCTGGCGTATATTTATATTGCATATAAGTAGACATTTAATGCAGTCTACAGATGCTAAAATTTTAGCTTAGCAAAGCATAGACCTAGGAAACACAATTTATTTTCCTTCTAATTACAGCCTTTGGCTGAAATCCTAAACATACGGTTATCAAGGAAATAATGAAGCAGTACTAACAACTTGAAGTGCTATTTTTAGGGATCAGTATGCAGCAGAGGTATCCTACCATCAATGGGGAATTCTAGGAATGAAGTTTTAGCAGAATGAAAAGTGCTGAATTCAAGATTTCTCTGCTGGTTTAAGCTCTTAGCCACAACCAGGGAGGATAGTCTTCTTCTTTGCTCTTCCTTGACCATTATTTTTTAATCTCTACTAAAGGTGCTAATGTTGTGTTATCAGAGACCTTTTCTGGTGAAGTTGCTCACCCCATTTTGAAGCTCAGAGTATCTCAGCATCCTTAAGCTTGAAACATTTTGAATATAAAAGGGATGTAAAGGCGATGGGGTTGCAAACATAAAGAATTTGTATACACCCCAATGCCACCATTATAGCAGGGGTGAAATGCTCCCAGTTCGGACTGGCTTGGGCGAGTAGGTAGCGATGGCGGTGGGCAGTTCGGAGAACCGGTAGCAAAAATCCCTGCCCCCGCCCCCCATGCCCAGCTGAGCTGCGTGATCATCATAGCCTTTTTTCTCTTTTAAATGGCTCTGACGAGCCAAGCTCTGACGATCCCAGCTGAGTTGCCTGCTAACCAGGCAACTCAGCTTGGATTGTCAGACCCATTTAAAAGAAAAAAAGTTTCTTTTTTCTCCCCCCTCCCCCAGCCTTCAGCTTGATTACCTTAGCTGCTGGTCGCAATGCCTCCTTGCTTCGCTTGCTATAATACCTGCAATCCATTGCATCAGCAAGCAACTGAATCTCCCTGCCTGCAATCAAGCTCATCGGTGAGCAGCTCTATCTGCACTTGTGGACTTCAACTCCCAGCAAAGCTGGCTGAGGAATTCTGGGAGTTGAAGTCCACAAGTCTTAAAGTTGCCAAGGTTGGAGACCCCTGTTCTATTGAGTAAGTTTTTTCCCCTTTGGGAGCTTTAAAAAAATAGTTAATTGGGGTTTTTTTTAGTTGTTCTTTTTTTAGACCTAGCCATTTAAAGTTTAGGAAGTTTTAAATTTAACTGCTTTTATATAAAAATAAAAATAAAATAAAATAAAATAATATTTGTGCAGCTTTCTGAGATTTAATGCGCTTCTGTAGTGTTTCACTCTAACTACACAAACACACAAAATCTCACAAAGCTGTATGTGGAATTTTGTGTGTGTAAAGTGTGAAAGTTGGTTTTTTGGGTTTTTTGTGGCTGTGTGAGGTTCCTGCTTGTTGCAGGGGCCATTTTGGGTCTAGCACAGCTGCTTTTACATTGTGGGTGAGACAATTGTGTTGTGTTGTGTTTTGTAGGTTAAAAAAGGGCAAAGAAGTGACATTGAATTGACCATGCCCACCCAGTCACCTTACCACCAAGCCCCACCCACTAATTAAGCCATGCCCACAGAATTGGTAGCAAAAAAATTTAGATTTCACCCTTGCATTATAGGTATTATTGCTGGAGAAATGTTGAAGCAGTATAGTAACCATTGTCTAGGGATCACATTGGAGACCAGCATCAGAGGTCGTAAATGCAAGACATAGTCCTAAATTTACTTTTCATCACAATTTCTCATCATGAGCAATTGCTAAATGAGGAAATTCCTAATAAGAACTATGTGAAAAAAGAAGAAAGAAAGAACAAAAGGAAAGAAGGGAGGGAGGGAGGGAGGGAGGGAGGAAGGAAGGAAAGGAAGGAAGGAAAGGAAGGAAGGGAAGGGAGGAAGGGAGGGAGGGAGAGAGGGAAGGAAGAAACCATTAACCATCAACATTATTAATTTCATTTTGTCCTCAAATGAATCAGAAACAGAAAGCACTATTTTCAGATGAAAATACACTTTTTTAACAAAAAAGAAGAAAATAAGCTTATTTTGCCCAATGAAGCATTGCCTAAGTTTCATTTCCTGTTGGGCAGATGAAGGGTATTAAACAGAGGTGGTATTCAGCAGGGTCTGACTCGTTCTGGAGAACCAGTAGTGGAAATTTTGAGTAGTTCAGAGAACCGGTAAATACCACCTCTGACTGGCCCAGTCCCCTTCTATTCTCTGCCTCCCGAGTCCCAGCTGATCAGGAGGAAATGGGGATTTTGCAATAACCTTCTCCTGGAGTGGGGTGGGAATGGAAATTTTACAGTATCCTTCCCCTGCCACACCCACCAAGCCAAGCTACGTCCACCAAGCCAAGCCACACCCACAGAACCGGCAGTAAAAAAATTTGAATCCCACTGCTGGTCCTAAAGAGTACAAGATCATTCCATTGTGAAGTTCTTAAAGAGAAAGCAGCAGGAGCAACTTATGAGAGTGACTTGTGACTTTCTCTGGCTTCTCCATAGTTATAGCCATTGCAATGCTTTTATGGTCACATAATCAAAATTTGGGCACTTGGCAGTTCACCTGTATTTAAGACCACTGAGTATATTTCAACCCACCTATCTTCCCCCTTCTCTACCTTTTGGACACCCTGTACTCCAGATAGGTTGATGCGGGCAGCAGTGAAATGTATTTACCTTTGCTACCAGTTCAGGAATGTGAGCGAGCTGGATGTGAGGTGTTGAAGTGGAAGTAAGCATGGCAGGGCAGGAGAAATGTGACATCCTGGCCTACTAGTACTGCCATCACTAAGCTGTGTGGTCACATGATATTTCATCTAAAATTGCTTCACTTAGCAACCCTAATTGAGACCAGAATTTCCTTTGTGCAGAGGGTAAAAAACGGGATGTAATGACGTCCTGGCGGGTAGGCGGAGCCTCCCGCCACCGGCACTACCGGTTCTCATGAGTTGGATAGATCCAGCCAGATTTTACAGCTGGATGTGGGGTGTTGAAGTGGAAGTAAGCATGGCAGGGCAGGAGAAATGTGAAGTCCTGGCCTATTGGTACTGCCATTACTAAGCTGTGTGGTTGCATGATATTTCATCTAACAATTACTTCACTTAGCAATGGAAATTCTGGTCCCAATTAGGGTTGTTAAGTAGGACTGCCCTGCATTTTTTTTAAAAAAGTAAAAATTTCCTATTTGTCCTCCTCCCCCCCTCAATTTTTCCATTAAAAACACAAGGCTGAAATACCCTTCATGATCAGCTATGGGAAGCATCAAATTCTGCAAGACGGCAGTCACAAAGTCTCCCCCTTTTTCACAAGAGCTGCATGAATGTCCCAAAAGGATGGAGTTTTTAATCATGACACCACACCTGTCATCTTGCAAATATTGATTCTGCGGGCATCACTGGCACTCACTTTTTTGTTGTTGTTGTGAAGTTCCAGTCTTTTTCCTTGGTCATCTGCTAAAGTGGGAGTAGAGGCCTATACTTCACAGCCTGTACATCACCTGTTGTCAGCCAGTTTCCTTACAACAGGGCTATTAAACTCCTGGCCCACCAGGCTGGATGCATCATGCGCTGGACATGTCCATGCCTGGTTTCACGAAGGGGGAAAAAATCCTGATACATCACATGACACTGCCATGACAATGTGAATTTAACACCTCTGCCTTACAACAGTTGTTACAATTATACCCTGAAAAATCTGGGCCTCTGTTGAGAATATTTTTCTCTGGATATTTTTCAGAGCAGCAATAGTTAATTTCTCAGGTTGAACTTTGTTTTTAAATCATGTTTGTCTCCGTGAATTTCAATGAAGTAACCATGATTTTGAAATGAGGTTCTGTAATGGCTTAAAGTATTTAAGCCCTTAAAAGAATGTACTTTGCCTATAGCTCGAGGAGCAGTAAATCCTTTGGCAGTGATATCCTCCTTCCATGTAGCAATGAGAGTGGCGTTATTCATGTCAGGCAAATAATTCTACCCCAAAAGTGGTGATATATCTTGTAGAAGGAAAAGGTAAGACACAGTTCCCCATTGTTTCTAAATAGCTCAATGTTATTTCATTAGGGATAGAAAGGAAACTGTTAATATAACAGGAGTAGGAGAGTTAGTCTGAACCTCCAAGGATAATTCTGTTGTGGAGTACCGATGATGATTTCTCATAAACATGTAAGTACAGACGGCTTTGCTTAACACTTACTTGTTCAGCAACTGTTCTAACTTACTATGATCATATAATTGTGATCTGGGCAGTCAGCGACAGGCTAGCAATTACGATGTTACAGCATTTTGCAGGCAAAGGGTCCCCATCTGTGACCTTCACTGCCAGCTTCCTTCAAGCAAAGTCAGGAGGGTGGCAAGTTGGCAGGAGGTCACAAATGGTGACCCTTGATGTCATGTTTAACAATGCCAACCAGTGCTCTGGAGCTGCTGTTGCTAAGTGATTTGGTCATGTGATATAATGCTTTATGACTGCATTTCTTAGCAATATAAATTCTGGTCCCAGTAGCCATCACCTTATATATTGGAATAGGATAAGGCAACTCTTCTTGGCCTCTTGGGTAAGATCGACTGTATGTGTAGATAAGCTGCACTAAGATTAAAATAGCTATCTTTAGTATTCATGTGGAAGGCTGAGGGCCAAAGAATTGAGGCCTTTGAACTATGGTGCTGGAGAAGACTCCTGCAAGTCCCTTGGACTGCAAGGCGATTAAACTGGTCAGTCCTAGAGGAGATCAACCCTGACTGCTCTTTAGAAGGCCAGATCCTGAAGATGAAACTCAAATACTTTGGCCATCTAATGAGAAGGAAGGACTCACTGGAGAAGAGCCTAATGCTGGGAACAACTGAGGGCAAAAGAAGAAGGGGACGACAGAGAATAAGGTGGCTGGATGGAGTCACTGAAGCAGTTGGCGTGAGCTTAAATAGATTCCAGGGGATGGTAGATGATAGGAAGGCCTGGAGGAACATTTTCCATGGGGTCACGATGGGTCGGACATGACTTCACAACTAACAACAACAACAAAAGTATTCATGTGAAGATTTGGGGAGGAGTATCTGTATTTCCAGTTCGGTAAGGTTTACAATTTTTAAATCTCATTGTAATTGAGCTCTGGTGGCTCAGCAGACTAATTAACATCCACTTACATCTGCTACCTGCAATTACTGCAAGTTCAAATCTCACCAGGCTCAAGGTTGACTCAGCGTTCCATCCTTTCTAAGGTAGGTAAAATGAGGACCCAGATTATTGGGGCACTAAACTGACTTTGTATAAATATACAAAAGTATGAAGGCTATTGCTTAACACATTGTAAGCCGCCCTGAGTCTCCGGAGAAGGGCGGCATATAAATCAAATTAAAAAAAAAATATTGTTCTTCCCGAGTAGGATAGGCCGCCTTTTCAAAGGTTCTTCCTCCTCCCCATATTCAACTAAACAGGGAAGTTCACCCAGCAGTCTAGAACAGGAGCAAGAAACAGTAAAGGAACAGTTTCAACTGAGACCAACTTGAAATTGTTTACAGGTTACAATATAACTAAAGGTAGATTCTAGTAATGAAAACATACTTGACTTTTGCTAACTAAACTTATCAAGAACTTAAATATGTGATGATTCTTTCAGGGTGATTCTTGGGAAGTCCCCAGCAAAGTTTGGCCTTTATTATATGGCAACTTCTTATTTATTTATTTATTTATTTTTTCTTAGTTTATAGTATAAAGTACAAAAATGCAAAAGCAAATAGTAGGACACAAAGAGGAGGGGAAGACGAGAGAAGTGTGGAAGAGAGGGGAAAAAGAAAAAAAGGGTGTGTGTGACTTCTGACTCCCTCTGTTGTAGTAGAATAAGGCATTAACATCAAACCTCAACCTTTTACTTATCCATAAAAGTATAAACTAGCCATTTTTATAATGACAAATCAGTCTAATCAGTAAAACTCAATATCAAAGTTTCATTTTTTTCCACCTCAACCACAAAGTCCAGAAGCGGTTTCCAAGTAGAAACAAAAATACTTATATTCTTTCTTCAATCAAAATTGTCAATTTAGCCATTCCTGCTAACTCCATCAACTTTTGTAGCCATTCACCATGGTGGGAATCGAAATGTCCTTCCATTCCTGTGCATACAGTAGTCTTGCTGCAGTCAACATATATAAGATCAGAGTTCCAATGTTTCCACCCAAGTCTTTTTCCATTAAGCCCAAAAGAAAAGTTTCTGGTTTCATTTTATCTTCACATAATTATCTTCAGAAAATAAGAATTTTCTGTATTAGAATATGAATCCTACTCCAATATTTCTTCGCTTTATCACATGTCCACCATAAATGAAAAAATGTCGCTCCTTTACATTTTCATTTACATCTTCAACATTCATTTGAAATACTTTTATACATTATTATATGGCAACTTCTTGAAGACCAAGTAAGTTCACCCAACAGAGATTTTCTAGTAATCTAGGAATAACTTTCCAGAAGGCAAATTCGACCCGACCAATCAGTAACTTGAATAACTTAATCAGTTATATTCCATCTTGCTTCTGCAGGACCTCTTTGCCATAATTATAGAAAAATTAGCCTGGAATGTAAGGGCCATGCAGCATGGACTTTGTAATACTTGCAATATGGGTTTTGTACAGTGGTGGGTTTCAAATTTTTTTACTACCAGTTCTGTGGGTGTGGCTTGGTGGTGTGGCATGGCTTGGTGGGCGTGGCTTGGTGGGCATGGCAGGGGAAGGTTACTGCAAAATCCCCATTTCCTCCCAATCAGTTGGGACTTGGGAGGCAGAGAATAGATGGGGGTGGGGCCAGTCAGAATTTTTACTACTGGTTCTCCAAACTACTCAAAATTTCCACTACCGGTTCTTCAGAACTGGTCAGAACCTGCTGAAACCCACCTCTGGTTTTGTAGTACTGTTGTACTGGCTAATTAACATGGATGTTTCTTATATTTTAATTTGCCTTCTCTCTCTCTCTCTCTCTCTCTCTTCCTCCCTCTCTCTCTCTGTCTCTCTCTCTGATACATTGAAAATTGCTTTTCTTTTTAGTTGTTCCCAAGCCTCAATGAATAAAGCAAGCATTCAAACCCAGCGCTGGAAAAACACTCTGAATGTATCTTTACTAATATACATTTTGATGGTTTTTTTCCTTTGTAAATGTTCCTTTTACTTTTATTCAGATTGCAATGCTCTTTTCAAGCCTGATGCTGACATATTACTGGATGTCTAATTATTCCTGATATAACTGGACATATGATTTTTTTCCTAATCCAATCAACTTTTACTTTGAAGTTTCTTTGTTGGGCAAACTATAAAAGTAAATGTAAGTCTTTTGTTCCTTTCTCTTGCGTACGAAGGGAATTATTTTTAATCGAATCATTTCAAATAAATTGTAAATTAAATAGTCTTCCTGTCTCAGGTGCTAATGGAAATCCAGTGTGCTGAGGCAGAACCAATCTAGATTTGGCTAACAAATGTTTATTTGGATAGATTTTGGCCTATATATCTTTGGTTTAATGGAATGAACTAGGCAATAAGAGGAAGACTGAATCTAGCATATCCCACCATCTTGGTTTGTTTAGTTACATAGTTCTTGTACTCTGCTACCCTTTAAGTCAGAGGTCTTCAAAATTGGCAGCTTTAAGACTTGTGGACTTCAACTTCCAGAATTCTCCAGCCAGCTGGCTGGAGAATTCTGGAAGTTGAAGTCCACAAGTCTTAAAGCTGCCAAGTTTGGGGACCCCTGCTTTAAGTAATCTAGCACAATGCTGTTGATGTTTCAGATGCTGCTGAGTATTAGTTTGCAGCAGCCTCAGCCAGCATGGCCAATAGTTGAGGGATTAGGAAGGAACAAGCCCATTTATGAACTATTCTGTGCATGGAACCAATGTCTTGGGATGATTCATGTCCATGTATATGAAACATATGGTTGGTCCAGATATAGAAAGAAACTGAGTGTTTTTGTTCCAGAGTGTTTCTGAAATGCAAATGTGATGTGCAGAAATTGAGAGATGGGGAATGAGAGAGAGAGAGGAGTGGGAAAATGTCAAGGATATTATGGCAGCTGAGGAAATTAGAGAGGCAGGGAAGACAAGGTGCCGGAAAGATCTGTTATAGGAAGATGCATGAGCTTTGTCCTTTGTGCTCTATAAAACTGGTCCTTGCAGTGTTCATTGTGGCCAAAATTCTGAAAAACAAATAAAAATATTTGGACTTTTGTTTCTGCCAAATTGCAACCCACTGGAATTCTTTAACAGAAATTTAGAACACAGTATTAGGTCTGAAACAAAAACAGAATTTACAGAGTTGGAAGGGATCTTAGAAGTCTTCTAGTCTAACTCCCTGCTCAAGGAGGAAACTCTATATCATACCAGACAAGTGGCTGTCCAATCTCTTCTTAAAACCCTCCAGCGATGGAGCACCCACAACTTCTGAAGGCAAGCTGTTCCACTGGTTAATTATTCTCACTGTTAAGAAATTTCTCCTTAGTTCTACATTTCTTTTCTCCTTGATTAGTTTACACCCATTGTTTCTTGTCTTGTCTTTTGGTACTTTATATACAAGATGGAAGACATATTTTCCATCTTGGGTATATCCCCATGAGAAAGACACTTCACAGCATTTGTTCCACTTATATGTGTCAAGACAAACACTTTTATATGCTAGATTTACAATTCACATAAAGCCATGGTTTGTTGGACAAAACATGGTAGCTTGATTCAACACAAACTATAAACTGCAGAAGATGACCAAAAGCAATCAGATCACATCCTGGCATAGTATGATATGCGAAACCAATCATATTTGTCCCATCATTTTAATCCCTCCCAAAATTAAATAAGAATGAATTTCATTATTTTATTATTGTATTTTGCAATTGCTACTAATCTTGGCTGAAGAACAATGCAAAAGTATTTCAGAATACCAAATAATAACAAACAGTCCATGCTCGCTACTTACCAAAATCCAGGGTCAGTCCAGAATTTGACATTTCCTAGTTGATTTGCTACATTTAAATTGGATAAAAATTTGTATTAATAGCCTGCACTAAAAAGTGAGATTGCTTTACCATAAAATAACATTGATCCTGAGATATTTTATAGAAAAAAAATAATTCCATGATGTATCCATTTAATTACTTGCCAATGAAAAGTGCTAAAGTTTTCCTGATTACTAAAAATTTAATGAAATGTTTAAACCTGCCACAATTTTAAAAATGTGTTTCTGAGGTGATACGTTACTGAGGTGATTAAATGAAATGTCTGTGTTTCACCTGTGATGAACATACTTCACACATGCAAAACACTCCATTTCAATTAGCAAATGAAAAAAAAAAGATGTGA